TATATAATATTTGTCATTGATTATTATTGATGCTGATATTTTAATATAATACATAATATTGTTATATATAATACTGTCGCGTGTAATATTTTGCCTTAAAATTAGCTTGCTTTCAATTAGGCTTGCTGGTATTGGCAAGTGGCATAAAGTAATAACTTCAGCATACATGAAAACATTGCAACTTATTAATTAGGCTTATTCAATTGTGTTTAATCTTATACAATTCAGCGTTATAAGAAATCATAGGAAACAATACATCATTCGATAACATTGAATAAACATTTTGTGGTGCAATATAGGTACAAACTAGAATTTGTTTCATTAAAATTTTTTATCACTTAGTCCGTTTGTCTCTGTATCGGCCTCACTCAAGTCTAAGTAAAAAGAAATTTTTGAATCCCTCATTTGTTTAAATAGTAGTATGTGAATTTCCTCTCCATCCAAAAAAAAAAAAAAAAAAAAAAAAAAAAAAAANAGTCACCTTAAAAAAAAAAAAAAAAAAAAAAAGACAGCTGGATGAAAACGTGCAACGTTAGGGTGCTTTACAGTTTGTAGACAGGTTTGAGCTTCTTTATTTTTTTCTATTAGACTCCTGAGTTTTAACTATACTAATGATATTTAGCTAAGTAACAAAAACTAGCAACGCATGAACCTTGCAGCAAATTTATTCAAACTCACTAAAATCATTCTTCCGATCAGCTCTTCAATTAGCTTAATTAATTATAAAGTATTTTATTAATTTATACTAAATCAAATGAACATGTATTTTTATTAAGAAGCAATGAATAATTATTTTAATTGATATTTTTAGTACTAAAGTGTTCCTTCCTCATAAGCCATGAGCAACCAAGAGCCAACTCAACCACGAAATTCTGCATCAAGTGGTGGATCAGAAGAGAACCCAAACCAAGCCGGTATTAGAATATTCCTGTGGAAACTATTCTGTATACTAAGTACAATTACAACCAGAACCTGATTTACCTAAAGAAATGGACCTAAATCCTCAAATTCGAAAAGACTCTTAAAAATTAGATACGAATTAAATACTAATTTTTAAGTAAGAAGAAAGTTAGTTAACAAATCAATAAATTGAAAACATTCTAATTAAACAGTCTGCGTTGATTCGATTGAAATTAATGAAATTTTGCAAGAGCTTTTTGAGTTTTTCTTCTATAGTTCATGGTGCTGAATTTCAATTGCATCAAATTTGGAAGTTGGTAATTAAAAATAAATACAGTGAAACCTTCGGAAAAGTAGCGACCTCTTCTATTTATGACCACATTTGGGTGGCACGGAATTTTTTATTCAGACTTTGTGAAGAAACTTTTTAGGAGAGAAAATCAAAATCTCTCCTAGCGACCAAGCAAACTTCTGCACCAAATGCGGAAAAGGTCAAATAAGAAAACAAGAAAAATATCAAAATTAAAATCGTATGTTAAATCTTAAATTAAAATCGTTTGCGAAAATTCATGAACCTTCAATAATATTTTGAAGTCAATGAAAGTAACCCCTATGAATGACCAACCTTCATTAATGACCACTTTACTGTGGAACAGAGAGAGATCGCGCCCGAAAGGTATATCACGTAAATAACGCTTAAAAATTAATATTTCAAGCTGTTTTACTGTTTATATACCATTTTACAAAACGTTTCACATTAAAAAAAATTACAATTTAATAATGTATAACAAAGTAAAATGTAATTGGATTTACACCCGTTGTTCGTATTTTTAATTATAATGAAAAATTTTGAGATGGGTAAAAATTCAATTCAAGAAAGTCTTGGCCTATGAATATCTCGTCATTAGAGTTTATTGGATTTTGCTTCATGACCAAAATAATAGACCATAAAAAGTGCTAAACATTCAAGTTTATAATTTTATCTTTAATTTTTAAAAAATCTCAAAAAAGATTAGGTTGTGTTTAAATCTTTTCTAGAAAATATTTTATGTCATTTATGAGTTTATATCCTCCTAAGCTACATACTTCTAAAAAATATTCGTATTTATGTCCATTACTTAAAGCTCAAGAGGATATAAAAGAAGAGTCACATTTAAGAAAGATAGTAAACTAAAATTTCGAGTTAAGACTCGCGTGATTTATAAATTTGGAAATAGTATTTTTCTTTGCAGAAAGTTCGTGGTCATTTATTTTTATATATATATTTTTCATTTATTTATTTTTTCTTTTTTACTCTTACAACTTTAGAAACTCGTAAATCAGACTCTGGGTATAACAGTTCAGACAATAAAAAAATATTTGAAAAAAATCGTAATGTTTTTAAAAACTTTTTTATTAGGTGATGCAGCAACAGTAAATATCACTAGAGGAATGGCGAATATGAATACACAAGATCGTTCGATTAGAGAACTTATAAATCAATTAGGAGAACTACCTGTTGATTCGGTTGAATCATTCAAAGTGTTGGATCAGAAATTAAGAAATGACAACGTGTTGCGAGAAGAGTTGGTATGTATAATTAGTAAAATTTATCTCTTTCCCGAGAGCAATTTACTTAGGGCAGTAACGAATATTCGGTATTCAGCCAATTAGGCTCGTTTGCCGAATATTCGGTAGGCTGAATGTTTGGCCAAATATTCGGCCTAATATTCGGCTAAATATTTTTTGGAAAAATATTTATTGACAAAAAATATTTTCTCCGAATTTTAATTGTTTAAATAATGCAAAATAGTAATTACACTATACATTATCATATATAGTTTTTACATGTATTTGCTAAGCTTCAAAATTCATGTGCTTGTAAATTTATGTTCTGGAAGACAAATGGAAAACGTAATTTCAAGAATTGAAACTAGATTATTTTATACTTAACCACGTGTTTCGTGCAGGTGACTTTTTTTTTCAAATTTTATTCAATCAAGTCAATGTCGTTGTTTTTTCAACATTTTTGTCTTAAGAACTGAGAAGGTTTTTTTATGTCGTTTTTTACATTTTATTATAGCACGAGGCGTTTTAAAGGAACATTTTATGATAGATTTTATTCTGTCACTTCTTTCTTGTACTGTAAGACTGATAACGGTAACAAAAAAGCTGTGATTTTTCAACGTTTAAGTTATATTCTAATAAATGAGAAATTTTTTTTCCTCCTTTGTCTTTTTTATTAGCTTTTCTTTTTACCAGCGTTTTTATTATGACATAGTATTTTTTAAAAAGCGTTTCTATTGAACGTTATTCTTTGATCGTCAATTTTTTTAAGACTTTTTTAACTTTTTTCTAATTTGAAAAAGTTAAATTGAGATTTTTTACGTTAATTTTTTTTTAAAAACTAAGAACGATTTTTGTTTGGGTTTCTATCTAGCTTTTTATTTTTTTAAAAGACGTTTTTATAATGGCGCAACAATTTAAAGGGTTTCTATTAGGCTTAATTCTTCTTTTTTTTTTTTACTTTTTAACGAAAATACAATATAATTGGAAAACTGAGATGTCAAACTTAGATCGATTTTTAGTTTTTGTTTCGCTTTTGTATATAATCTTTTGTTTTTGTGGGCATTTTTATGATAGCGCGGCATTTTTAAAAGTGCTTCTGATAGATTGTATTCCTTGTATATTTTTTTCGGAAAATATTATTTTAAACATTAAAGTTTCGACATAAGAATAGAGAATTTTTTGCTATTTCTCTTTTTCCTTTTGTTTTCAACTTCATAACTTAATTTTTTTGTCTTTATCTTTCGGAGATAAAGACAGCAAAGAGTTCTTTTCAGGCGTTAACATTTATTTTGAGACACTTGAATACACCTATTTGCTTTGTTAATATTCTTTGTTTTGATATTTTTTCGTATTTCCTGGAACTCCAGGTATTTTCCGAGAGGCAAGATTACTTACAAGTACTGAACAACTAACAATTAAACAGCAACTAGCTACTAAACAATTTACTGCTAAACAACAAGCTTGCAGTAATTCAATTCCCAGTTCCTTCCTTATATGTGGACTGTTCCATATCTTTTGTTGGTGAAGAAAAAATAAGATCCGTGTCTGTATTTCTTTTTCCTTGTAACTGAAGCGGCAGACAGAAATTATTTCCAATTTTAGAATTTAGATTTCTAAAATAAAATATTAACCCTTTTAAATACAGTATCAATTTAAAGAGCATTTCGACGTTTTGAGTTTGCTCTGCTTTTTATCAAATTTTCTTTTACATTATTATATTCATTAATTTAATAGCTGGGAAAATTATTTTACATGAAGGTGGCTACGAATTTTG